TACGGCGATGACGTATCGCATCATGTGTTTTTATCTTAACAATGCACCAGATGTGGTTTATTATTTACCTGTCTTGAATATTTTGTATTGAAATTTGAATGCAATTATTAACATTGAAATGAAATTTATTTAGAAGTTCTTGACAGCATCCCAACTGATACAATATTTTTCATAAAAGTTACCTTTTTTCAGACTACAATTTTTCTATTTTGGAGTTCAACATCGTATTGTACACTCCAATTATTATTCCCGGAGTGTTTAAAGTAATTTTGATCTCCAATTCACCAATTCCCCATGCAAAGAAAATGAAAATGACGTACCTTTCCACATTTTTAGTTCTGCAGGGCCAAGCAAAAGTCAATGGTAACACAACGCGAACGCATTTACCACACACTGAAACTAATACACGATCGACACTACATTGCATTTAATCGGCGAAAAAGGAAAGCGTTTAATGACGGAATTTTGGGTAATGGACGCCGGTCTTATCAAGTTAGGTACTTGAAACGCAGTTGCGGTGTTGTTACTTAATGACGTGGCGACGCACCTGCGCGCATTAAATTTGAGTAACATTGCGCACTACACGCATTATGTTTTCCTAAATTATCAAATGGAAAGAGCTGAAATCTGACATATTAAATAAATTTTGACCAAGAGTGGTCAAAATGATTACTTATTATGGTAGAATGCCCTACATCGATGTCCAATAAATGATTTTTCTGCACTTTTAATGACCACGTACGCTTGCCCATTGTTCTCTTTTCCCCTCATTAGAGTTCCTCCCAATTCGTGCAAGTACCTTGGATCGTAAATTTATGAACTTCAAATTTTGGTGCCGATATGGTGCAATCAGTCCATTTTTACCACCCGCACGTTAGTAACAATTTCATCGGAATAAAAAATGACCCCCACTTTTCTGACTGAAATACACAGGAATCCAAATCAAACAAAATCTCGATGATACCTATCGGTCTGTCTGTCTGTACTCTCAGCTAAACAGCTGAACCCATTGGAACCAATTTCTTTTTAATTTCGACTATGACATTCGCTATTGCAGAACCCAATTACAAGGTAATGCTAATTATTTTTTTCGACTGCGAGATCGAAACCTTAGCTTAGCCCACTCTTGGGATCCATTTTTCCCGCTCTTAAAATTTTCTTAAAATAACACAATGTAGCATGCTCATAAATAATCAAAAAATTTTAACAGAATTAACAAAAGAAGAGATGGAAACTTCAACCAATTTAAGTGGCGATATTAATTAACAATATTTTTTAAGTTTAAAGATAGATTTAATAGTTTTCTATTATTAAATAACGCCAGCGCTTCTTCGAAAACGACATTTTTCGGTTTTTTGGCCAGAATTTCCCTACAGCTACAAGAAACGTGAAAGTGTGCGTAAATTTGCCCATTTAAGCGAGTTTGGCCTTTTTCCCAAAAAAAATTGGTGAATAAATAGGGATTTAGATCGATATTGGGCAATAAAGTGATGGATACTAAAATTAATTCTTGCTAGTTGTCCATCTGGAACTATAAGCTTTCTTATAGCGAAAATCAGAAGTCGATACGAGTTCTTCTTCCGAAGAAAATCGATTTTGACATTTTTTGTGAACAAAAATACACATGGACCACTTCTAGGGCATTGCGCAATTGAATTTCCCAAGAAAATCGAGGCATAAATAACGATTTTGACATCCTTTGGATAAAAATATTTTGGTCACCAAAAATAGACATTTATCATTCCTTGGTCATCGAGCAAACGAGTTTAATCTTTTTCCTAACAAAATTGGTGAATAAATAATCATTTTGACCAATTTAGAGCGTGATGAATTCCAAAGTTAATTTTTGATAGTCGATACGAGGTCTAAGGACTGAGCTATAGTACAGAACGACACGCAGACGGGCGGAAATGTGAAGTCATAAGCGCTCTACTTTCGTGGATTGCGCTAAAAACGAACTTCTTCAGTAGAACACTGCAAATTAATAATATTTCGCCTGCCCGCTCTGTAGATTTATTTGCCCGCTCTCTCTTAGTAACTAATCTGGCTACGGCCCTGCAACGACGTCTATACAATTCTTGTACGGCTGCAAAGTTCAAAGTTCAAAATTTCAGCCAATATGTATTTTTTAGAGCGATTTTTATATTTAGGGTATCGTTTTCGGGGTTTTCGAGGGTGAAAATAATAATTAACTTGTGTCAGAAATATCTAGGCCGATTGCGAGGTTCTTTTGTGTAGTCCATATATATTCAAAAAATTAGTTACCGGGCCAAACCGGGTTTTTCATGCAGGTGAAATGATTAGAAATTCGAGAAAAATAATTAAAACAGCTGAATTTTTCTGAGGGTGAAATCCCGCGTGTTGAAAGTGGTGGAAAGTGGAGTTTTGCAAATTTTGGCAAAACTATTAATTTTAGGAGAAAATGTTTAATTAAAAACTTTTAGAGAATAAAAAAATGAACAATTTTCTGCACTATTTTCACAGTTCTTCAGTTCTTAGTAAAGTGTCTATAGAACATAATGTACCGAATTTGGTTCAATTCGATGCAATACTTTAGTCATAATATTTGGTAAAACGTCAAAACTAAACAGTTTTCTGCTCAAAAGCGTTTCGACTCTTCCTTTTATGTCTAAAAAAGTGTGTACCAAATTTGGCTCCAATCGGTTCAACCGTTTAGCCGAAAATGAAAGCACAGACAGGCAGACAGATCGGCAGTCCGACCGACATCATTGAGATTTTGCATGATTGGGATTACTCGTACTTCAAAACGTGTCTCTCCGTCAAAAAAGTAGCGAGTTATTTTTACCCCAATGCAACACCTCCCTTTACTAACGTGCAGGTGGTAACAATTAAAAATTTTTTAGATGCTTTAATGTATTTCGATTTTTTCGTTCTTCGTTTTTCAGCTTTTATGCAAATGTCAACCATAGAAGGTGGCGCAGCTACAGAAATTATTTTTGAATGTACAGGGTGACCCATTTTTTCGGTGTCAATAGACTGATTTTTTAATGGAACAGTTGTTTCGATGTCATTTTTTAACCTCTGCACGAAAACCTATTCACTTTTTGGTTTTTTATATTATATAAATTATATTAATATGAATAAAAGGAAACACTTTGGTAATAAGAAAGTTGGATTTTGGTGATAAAGGGTGTTCACAAAAAAATAGTAAAATTTCCAAATTTCAAAGTGTCACAAATAAATTATCTGCTGCAACACTTGCAGCAAATCTTATTATCATGGCCTAGTCCTGTTTATAAACATGTAATTAATTCATGTGTAACTATTTTTGTGAAAATTATTGAATAACCCAAAAACTACGCGATTTTGGCACAGGGCACCCCTTGCAAAAATTGAGGAGCACACAAAAGACTATCGAATATAGAAATAAAATAGTGGTAGTTCCATTTGAAAAAAAAATACTTATGGCACTTGGAAATATAGAAACCCTGGATTCTACGCACCAAGATTAATAAGAAAAAGTGTTTTCCTGAGAAATTTTAGTGCAGTCGATTTTTGGTAAAAAAGGAAGGTTATACACTGCCTTTTTTTAGCCCCGAAAAAAAAATTGTCTCAGATCGACCCGGAAAAAAAATTTTCTTATAGAATGTGGCCTGTAGAATCCATAATTTCACACAGTTCCAAGATTGGGCTACTAGCTCAAAAGTTACAGCCCTTTGAATTTTCTTTCGAAATTGATTTCTAGTCCGTAACTTTTGATTGAGAAGTCTGATCGAAAAAGTACGAATTGTTTTGGATTCTACGCACCAAAATTAATATGAAAGTGTTTTCCCGAGAAATTTTGGTGCAGTCGATTTTTGGTAAAAAAGGAAGGTTATACACTGTCTTTTTTTGAGGCCCGCAAAAAAAATTGTGTCAGATCGACCCGGAAAAAAAATTTTCTTATAGAATGTGCCCTGTAGAACCCATAATTTCAAACAGTTCCAAGATTGGGCTACTAGTTCAAAAGTTACAGCCCTTTGAATTTTCTTTCGAAATTGGTTTCTAGTCCGTAACATTTGATTGAGAGGTCTGATCGAAAAAGTACGAATTGTTTTGGATTCTACGCACCAAAATTAATAAGAAAAAGTGTTTTCCCGAGAAATTTTGATGCAGTCGATTTATGGTAAAAAAGGAAGGTTATATACTGCCTTTTTTTGAGCCCCGACGAAAAAATTGTCTCAGATCGACCCGGAAACAAATTTTTCTTATAGAATGTGCCCTGTAGAACCCATAATTTCAAACAGTTCCAAGATTGGGCTGCTAGTTCAAAAGTTACAGCCCTCTAAATTTCGAAGCAAAATTTTGATTTGGAGTACAATATTTGCCCAATTCTGAAGTTTCAGTGTTTCCTTTTTATACACAGCCAAATTTCACAGTTTCAGAATTCAAGCTCTAAATTTGAACTGAATGTTTGAAGATTGAGGCATCAACTTTTTTTGCAAAAAAAGAAAAATGCTTCTGATTCAAATTGGACCGAATGGAAGGAACAAATTCAAATTTAAATCCGTGACTGTAAAAAATAACGTGAAGTTCATTAGCACTATTCTGTACTAATTGAGAATAAGAGAAAGGGTTGGCAGCGGAATATGAGAAATTAGGAAATTTGTAAATGAATTACAAATAGAACGCTTTGTATAGGAAATTCAATCCTAAATCACGGAATACAACGCTAAATTCAGGCAGGCGAGCTATACATTAATACAAGGAAATTAACATGTCACGTTAAATCTGTATAATACCAAGAGTGAAACTTATACCCATCACTATGCAATGCAGGACGAAGAAAATTGTCAAAAGTTATAACCAACAGAGAGTTTCCACGATTTTTCCTAAACGAATTTCTCAACGTCAACATTCCGATGTGTGCAATGCAATTTAATGCAACGCGACTGACACAAATAAATTTTGTTATCGTTGCAATTTATGAAAATATTAAATATGCAAGCTTCATTTCCATTAACCGATTTACCTCATTTCAATTTAATTCCACAATTAAAACGGTCGCAAATTAATGCCGAAAAAATCGGTTCATTTTGGTAAGTAATTTACGTGCGGTATTTAATTACAATGCGGGTGTTATTAATTGAAATATGCGCGTTAATCGCATTCGTGCAAATCGGTGGTGAATTTATAAAAAATGAACTCGAAGGTACACCCAGGGACGTGTTACCACCCCAAAACGGAACCGACGCGGTCAACTGCTGTATCGTACGTGAAATCATTCGTCGTATAGAGGCACTTTTGCAAAAGCAACTGGAAAGGGGTGAGTTGACAATTAATGCCGCTTTGAAGCCGGAAGAAACTGTGCCGAGGGTGAGAAATGTCCGGCAAAGTGATGATATGTTTAGTTTCAATAAGTGTGTCTTAAAATCGGAGATGGAACAGCACAAAAATGTAGAAACCGAACATATTTTTGCAATCAAACAAGAACTCGAACATTTAAAGGAGCTCATTCGTTTACTCCGGGATCAACAACAAATACTGAACATGCTCACTGACGTCGAGAATAAAGCGAAGGGTGAAGATGAAGAAGACCAGCGGAAGCTGATCAAGCTTTTCCGAATGCTCCAAAATAATCTCCCACGGGAAGCCAAGTCCACAAGTGCGCCCCTACCCTCTTCAACTCCGGATATGAATCAAATCATCATCGAAATCAGAAAACTGCACCAACAAATAGAAAACGCCAACCGAATAGCCGAAGATAAGCTAAAAGTCGAGGTGGCTAAGCAACAAAGCCACTTACAGCAGCTACAAAACGACATCGAGAACTTGAAGAAGGGACAGGCGCTCTTTGTTCACCTCGACCCGAAGCCAGACGCCAACAACCAATCGGACATAGTCGGCGCTACTTTACCCAAAGCGCCCCTCTCCAAATTCCTCGAGAAACTAAAACCGAAATCCGCCGAACGCAAATCCGAAGGTTTGCACGAAATCAAGCTTCCCAAACTCGCTCACACCCCAAAGGTCCGCGCCGGTACCGACGATTTTTTCGAGAATTTGCAACGAATCCTCGACAGCGACGCGCCCCCCGAAACCAAGGAGACCCCGCTCGAGTTCGATCTCGGTCCGAATTCCGGCCTCGAAAACCGACTTCTGGAGCTGGAGAAACAGATGAAGCTCTCGTCGAAAATTCAAAAGCTGGAAAAGAAAATCCAGCAGCTGCACGACACTAACGCCGAATCTAAAAATCTGGACGACGACGACGACGATCTCAAAGCGCAGATGAAGAAGTTGCAGCGACAGTTGAAGAACATCAACAAGAGCAAGGTGGAAAGTAAGGAGCTGGAGGAAGACGACATTTTGGACGAGCTGAAGAGTCTGCAGAGTGCGATCAACGAGCTGAGACCGAAGGAAGATACGAGTCAAGCGAAAATTGGCAGCGCAGACATTCAGGTAATGTTAAACAAGCTGATCGGTGTTCCAGCAGTGAGGCCAGTCGTTCCCGTGGTTCCCGCACACTCACAACTGACTCCCGCCCAGATACAGATATTACGGAGGGTGATGGCGATGAAGGCGGCATCCAGTCATGGGCATCATGCGGCGCATGGCCCGTCTGGGCTTGGGGGTGGACCGTCTTCCGGAGGGTTAGCTTATGATGGATTTTATGGCGGGCAAGGAGGTTACGAGGCAGGTTATGGACATGGGGTACCGAGTTACGGCTACGGTTATGCTTACACTCCGGCGGCTGGGCACAAGTACGGACCGTATGGCTCTGTGTCGCAGTATTTTCCCGGTTTGTACGGTAGTAGTGGTTATAGCTATGCACCGTATCCGGGGTTTGGAGGATATAACCCCCCTGAAGTAGGTGGTGGTGGCTACTACCCTCTAGGTGACTATGTACCCAAGAGTGAATATGGCGCGACATACCCAACAAACCCTGTGGCGTACAAACCTTCCCCGCCGGCGTACTCCGCCGTAACCGACCTTGGTAAAGCAGGCGCCAGTTACGCCCCGGCCTCTAAAGGTAAGTTAAAAGTTGTTCGCGACCCGCAGTTTACCTTTCAGTTTTAGGCTACGCTCAAGGGGAGGGAAACTTTTTTCGCGGCTACGAAAGCGCTGACCAATCGGATGCGCCGCAATCTTACGCGTATCCACAAGAAAATCCGTACACTGGCGATGCGTACAGCCAGCAACGAATTGAGGAGCTTCAGGACCAAATTTATAAATTACAAAGCGTAATAGGCAACCTAAACCGTCCCGAATACATCCAAAAACCCGAAGATCAGCAAGTCATTTACGACTTGGACAGCAAGATCGGTCACCTGAGGGGTATCGTGAGTAATTTAGCTCATCCCCCGGCGTACGGATATGAGTCAGGTAACGCAGATGGATATGACGCGAGTCCCAAGTCGAGCAAGGGTCGTACCAAGCGTGATCTACCCCGAGCTTACGAGGAAGGTAGAAAGACAGCAATGAACGATTTTTTGCGGAAAGTTGATGACATTCTCAGCGTCGTCAATTATTTTACGAATGACTGGCACCAAAAGCACCAGGACAACAACTCAATCGAGAGGGCTGGGGAAGTTTCCGAGCAAGTGCGAGCGCCCCGGGAGGTTGAGGAGGAGAGCCCGATGGCTCGCATACTGAACAAGCTGTACAGTTTAGCCGAGTTCGTCGACTCGCTGGGCGAAAAGGTGTCACAACTCAATCAAAACTGCACTGCAAGTGGTGGTTGCGAGTCCAAGGCTGCCAGGAGGAAACGAGAAGCGAAAGACTCCGGAGAGGATGACGACATAATTGGGGCCCTTGGCCTTGCTTTACAAGGAATGGCGGCAGATGAGAGCAGCGGCGAAGATAACAGCGTGAAAAAAGAAGTGCATCCGCAGATTTTGCAAAGCAAACTCAACGACTTAAAGAAACAGTTAGGTATGACATTTTAGGAAGCCACACTATACTAACCATTTTTGTCTTCAGAACATAAGCTTCATCCCGCAGCACCATCCGCTCGTGTCCAATCCCACCCCAAACATCGATCGTCATCATATGACGACACCCCAGTAAGCTACCAGCCTAATTATTACACTCCACTCCTTCCGACTTACTACACTGTTTACGACGATGACTACGACAAAGACAAGTACAAAACTAAAGACAAGGATAAGTTCATCAAACTGGAAGTAAAAAAAAATTCGAAATTCGAAAAAATCTTTTCCAAAATTCTAGATAAAATTCTACCCAAAATTATAAAAGCGATTCCAATCGTCCTTCAGAAATTGATCGGTATCGAAATCGACAAAGAAATCGAAATTGACACTTCCGGCGGATACTACGACGACGGATACGGAGGCGTTCAAAAAAAGCAAAGTTTCGGTTTTTTCGGATTAATTCCCGCGATTATTTTTAAGGTGCTCTCCAACATAACTTACTTCGTAAAGAAGCTGAAGAAGGTGCCGTTTATTCGAACCTTCCTCGTGCCTGCTCTCGTTACCGTCGGTACTGCTGGGTTAGTGATCTTTTTGGTATGGTGGCTTACTGGGGATGAGCATAAGGATAGCTTCGGATACGGTGGTTATTACAAGGAAAATTACGCTTACGATAATTCGCACGACGGTTACGGTTACGATGGCAGTTACCGAAGTGCCGATTCGAACAGTTTCAGGCCGAGGTATTCGGAGATCAGTCGATTTAGCAATCCAAAACCAGTCGTTCCTAGTCGAAATGCGGTGACATATACGCCGAGGATCCCGCCTCCTTTGCCGTATAATTACCCTAAACAATACAATCGTAAATTTCCCGTTTCTACCCCGTACCGTGTAAATAATTACCAACATTTGTAACTATTAAATATACTTGGACTGATTTTTTTATCAATTTTTGTCGGGGTTTTTTATAGATTTTGTAATTTTGAATATAAAAAAGAGAATTTTGCCATATTATGATTTTTATTTCCGTTTCCCAAACTGAACCCCACTTAGTGTGATTATTTCTGCGATCATGTTTACCCAAGGGCATGTAATTTATAAGAAAAAGCTACGCTTTTAAATTTGAATTGAGCTTTTGTGCTATTTTTTGGCTATAATACAACTTTGGTGCTCCCTTGTCCTCTCACAGTTTTCTATTTATTTTTAAAATAGACTTTTGTACTTTAATTTTGTGCTCATTTTATAGATTTCGAGTTCTTCAACTCGTAAACATTCTCCAACCTCAGTTTTCTGCTAATTGAGTGCTATTTTTCCTCTTTTCTTAAAATTTTGTGCTACTATGGTTTGTGAGTGGTTCGACTGAACGGAATAGAATTTGATGACTCAATAAATGGAAATTTATACAGTGTGATTGATTTTGCGTGTACAAGCGTATATTATGATTGGAGATGAAGTTACATATTCAAAAAAGCAAGTGATATAAAAACAAAAGAGCATCAGAAAACAAATTAATTTTTTTTAATAGAACGGTTACTTTAATCTGTAATTTTCCCAAAGAGCTTGAAATTCTCTTTACAAAGATATCAAATATATTATATAATTACCTTAGAAATTAAAGGTATTACATTAACGTGTTTAGAACCAATCGCAGTAGCTGTGGAAATTAAAAGAAAAACATAAAATTTACAACAGGAAGCCAAGAAAACAAATGAAAATCAGTTAGAGAAATATTAAGACAAATTTAAAGACATTGCACTTGCTTCCTATGCATTATCATTACATTAAATAAAATCTTTTTCATAATTTTGTTGCATTGTGGTTTTTATAAGTTATATTGTTCACTAAACTAATTTTGTGACAAGCATTAAAAACTCTCTTTTGGTTTTGTTTAAATTTCCACAGTTACTGCGATTGGTTTTAAAAATATTACTGTAGCTTTAATTTCTAAGGTAATTATCACCTATTCACCTAATTATTATAAAGAAAATTTCAAACTCTTTAAGAATATTGCAGAGAAAAGTAATAGTTCGATTAAAGAAAACTATTTTGTTTTCTGATGCTCTTTTGTTTTTATATCACTTGGTTTTTTTGAATATGAAGCATTACCAGAATTTGAAGGCGGAGTATTTTTGTTTTTTAAACTTCTTTCTTATCTCCAATAGTAAAAGAAATATACGCTTGGACACGCAAAATCAATCACACTGTATATACGCCATTATTTTGTGTTCCTTTGTAGAAAATAACTGTCTTGTGTGGACGTACGATCGCAAATTTTGAGGGATAAAAGGTTATAACAGCGAAAACGTTAATTAAAGTTAAGTTAATTCTTCAATAAAATATGGGGTCTTTCATTTTAAAGAACGAAACTTTGATACGCCACTGAAATACAGCACGTCGCTGGTGCCTAGAAATATAGGGACTGTAATTGGGCACAATTTTGTTCCTACTTACGCCTTATGGGAAAGGAATTACGAGCCAAGATGCTACACTTTTTTTTTATTTATATTTTTAGATTTATAGTCGGAATTTCTTGCTCATAATTCGGAATTTCTGAGCCAGATCTTCAGAGTCATTTCGATATACAGTCGGGATTTCCTTCTCAAATTCGGAAATCCCTACCTAAACCCGAAAATCTCTACTTCATCTCAAAACGTTACTCTTTTTCAGAATATTTTGATTTAAATCTGTATTTTTGGAGTATATTCCGGAGTGTTTTCAAAAATTAGAGAAAGTTGTAACCAAGAAATGTTGTTTGATTTGAACAAGTGCTTAGGTGAAAATGCGCGTCACGCTTTCTCTTTCCTTAGGGTCTGCCGCCTAGGACGTAAGTTCTTACGCAGCACTTGATCCTTCCATACAAGGAGGAAGGTTTCCAGGTTACCACGTGGAGGTAGATGCTCGAAACTATGACTCGTGCCAACATAATCGTGTGCACCACTATGATAGGAGGACTTTCACGTGAGTTCTCTGGTTTAATTGCCTTACGTTACCGCTCAACATTTCCGAAGAGAGTCGCAGTTACTCCCGCCGAAAACATTTGTATAAATGATTAAACGTTTTTTTCATAATGATCATGCTTAAGAACTACAATAACAATGCATTAAGCCATCCCATCGCAAATTGCCGAAGCAAGTAATGTTTCTGGGAGAAATATAGTTACCTGCAATTTTCTAGAATCATTAAGATACCAACTGTTTACGGGTGGCCAAATTCCAATTGACTGGACTACCGCCTACGAAAGGTCTAGCCACCAACCACGTGTTCCGAACTTATTTTCAAGTCCAGTGGTGGATGGCCAATGATTTAGTACCAACAACGGTTTGGGGTTGGTCAGTAGAGAAGAGCAGGATTGTGCCTAAAACCACTACCAAAAAATCCAGCCCTCTCCAGTGCATATCTGTGTAAGAAAGTCCCAGAGATGAGGATGATAGAAGCAGTATGCGAAGAAGACGATTTTGGGGATGCACTACAGCTGGAAGGCAGCTATGGAGAAGATGACATACTATACAAAGGCAAACGCCCAAAATTATAAGTAGATTTCCCTGCTGAATTGTGTTCTTAGGCTCCGTTTTTGTATGTAACAGTTAATAGTTACGTGCTCCATATATAAATTAATGAAAAAAATATCTGTGCAGTATGTTAATATTGCATGGGTCATGTATTAGTACGAGTTGCTATGGTTATTTACTTTTACTTCGCTTAGAGCGTCAGATAAACCACAATTTTCGATCTTGAATTAGCTTGAACACGCAATTAACTTAACTTTCGAATTACAAATAAGGATCACAATTTATCATTCAAATTCTAGCGCACTCGTACAACTTTACAACTCGCCAACATTCCCTTACGTCGATTATGCTTTAAAACAACTTTACTATTCGTGGGATAATTACACTGACCACAAAATAAACAGTGGGTGTTTTTCGATGTGTCGTTTCGTGGCATATTACACTGATTACATTTAAAATTCTTGAAATTACCGTGATAAAACAGGACGTTTTAAACTATCCTTGCTCTTTAAGGTCTAATTACATTGATCAAATGACTTTTTTGCAGCCGGAAATACTACAATATTGATTACTTTTGGCCATTGTAAATAAGGCAACAATAATACTCCATACAAATCAAAAGAAGCAAAAAGGACGATTGTTAATTCCACTACTCAGTATACGAAACTCTCTTTACAATTCCACCATTGTAGAATTTATTGAAAAAAATCAACACTAATCTTTTGGCCCTGCAGACCTTCTATGATGTGTAATACCTAAACCAAATTCCCTACATGCCAAAACGGTTTTACTTTTAATTAAAATCGTTCATGGCTGAAAAAGCTACCAAAAAAATAAGTAGGTGCTCTACTTAAAATTGTCAGGTCTCGATTAGACAGGAAATGGAGTTTTTGCATTCAAAGCGACATTCACCACATTCGATTATTTATAGACGCCGAAAATCGTTATTTATAAACCCATGTAGATGAGAAATGCATTAACGCGCGCTGCGAAAAAAAAATGCGCTCTTTGTGCACGACCCTCTCCCAGACCGTTCATTAATCTGTCAGAATGTGACTTACTCCCTCCGAACTGGCATAAATTACACCACATCCGCCCCTGTATGTATGAAATTATTATACGGAGAAGTAGAAATATAGGCCAAGCAATCTAATTTAGAATTAATGCCCTTGGCAAATTAGTAGATATACATTGTACAGTTTCATCTACATTAATGTTTATAGTAGTTATAAATATAATATGAAATAATAAACAAACCTCCCAGCTCTACGATTTTCATCACTAAAAATAGAGTAGTGAACGCGCTCTCATTGCACGATTGTAACGTAGATGGCTGAAGAATCAGCAGCAAAAAACGATAACAGTGAGGTGTTTAGTAAACAGGTAATTGATCATCTTCGACAGTTTGTAAACGATCCAGGCTTGAGTGACGCTTTGCACTTCTTTACCACTGGAGAAGTGGGCGATCGCGAAGAGTGCATTTTGAAGATCGCGAGTGCGCTCGTCGGAAATGCACCTCAATTTATTCAATTTCCAACAGGAGGCGATTTAATCGACGCCCAAGAGAAATTTTATAGACTTAGCCAAAGTGTGAACGAAGACTTTGGATTTCCAAATTTGATCGGCGTCATCGACTGCGAGCGTGTCAAGTTTGTAGAAAAAGAAGAAGAGGGTAGCATCAAGGTCCAATTCGTCTGCGGCCCCGATCTCCAATTTTACAATGTGCTCGCTGCCTTTACCGGGCAATGCGGGAACGTGCAAATTTGGCATAACAGCAAGCTACGTGCTCAGCTGGAACATCAAGAATCCCCAGACAAATGTTGGCTAATTGGTATGTAGTCCAAACATCTGTGGGTGATCACTTCGTTTGCTTGTAGGAAACTCGGACTATTTCCAGGACCCGGTGATAATGTGCCCCATTCCGGAAGCGAAAAGTGAGCCGGAGAAGCTATACAACAGTAGTCATGGCATCGTTCATAAGTGCATAAAGAGAGCTCTGTATTTGTTAAAAAAACGATTTAAATGTTTAGACACAGTGTTACATTTTAATGCACAAGAAGTGTGTGCAATAACTATTGCTTGTTGTGTGTTGCACAACATATGCATGCGCCATGATGATTTTAATATTGATTACCAGTACTTACTCTTAATTGCCGATTTGGATAAAAATGGGCATATTGAGGAAGTGCATGCTAAAGAGAATTGTTCTGAACATGTAGTTTCTAAATAAGTAGGTACGCCACTTCAATGTGCAAAGATTTTTTATGCTGGGTATGTTTTCCAGTTCGTAATGCTGTAAATACTTTTCCCATGGCAAAATCTGATTTTAATAAATGTATTTTATTAAGCGGAAAAAAATCTACGATTTTTGTTCTTTGCATATTTCTGTATCGACCCGGAAAATTTTCTTATAGAATGTGGCCTGTAGAATCCATAATTTCAAACAGTTCCAAGATTGGGCTACTAGTTCAAAAGTTACAGCCCTTTGAATTTTCTTTCGAAATTGTTTTCTAGTCTATAACTTTTGATTGAGAAGTCTGATCGAAAAAGTACGAATTGTTTTGGATTCTACGCACCAAAATTAATAAGGAAAAGTGTTTTCCCGAGAAATTTTGGTGTAGTCGATTTTTGGTAAAAAAGGAAGGTTATACACTGCCTTTTTTTGAGGCCCGCAAAAAAATTGTCTCAGATCGACCCGGAAAAAGAATTTTCTTATAGAATGTGGCCTGTAGAATCCATAATTTCAAACAGTTCCAAGATTGGGCTACTATTTCAAAAGTTACAGCCCTTTGAATTTTCTTTCGAAATTGGTTTCTTTTCTAGTCTATAACTTTTGATTGAGAAGTCTGATCGAAAAAGTACGAATTGTTTTGGATTCTACGCACCAAAATTAGTAAGAAAAAGTGTTTTCCCGAGAAATTTTGGTGTAGTCGATTTTTGGTAAAAAAGGAAGGTTATACACTGCCTTTTTTTGAGCCCCGAAAAAAAAAATTGTCTCAGATCCACCCGGAAAAAAAATTTCTTATAGAATGTGGCCTGTAGAATCCATAATTTCAAACAGTTCCAAGATTGGGCTACTAGTTCAAAAGTTACAGCCTTTTGAATTTTTTTCGAAATTGGTTTCTAGTCTATAACTTTTGATTGAGAAGTCTGATCGAAAAAGTACGAATTGTTTTGGATTCTACGCAACAAAATTAATAAGAAAAAGTGTTTTCCCGAGAAATTTTGGTGCAGTCGATTTTTGGTAAAAAAGGAAGGTTATACACTGCCTTTTTTTGAGGCCCGCAAAAAAAATTGTCCCAGATCGACCCGGAAAAAAATTTTCTTATAGAATGTGGCCTGTAGAATCCATAATTTCAAACAGTTCCAAGATTGGGCTACTAGTTCAAAAGTTACAGCCCTTTGAAATTTCCTTCGAAATTGGTTTCTAGTCTATAACTTTTGATTGAGAAGTCTGATCGAAAAAGTACGAATTGTTTTGGATTCTACGCACCAAAGTTAATAAGAAAAAGGTCTTTCCCGAGAAATTTTGGTGTAGTCGAATACTACTATAAATATCCAATTAACAAATGCAAAAATAATTTCTTGCAATCCCTTGCTTCACATAGAAAACCACCCCTAAAGCGTTTATAAAATTAATACGGCAAAACGCAGGTAGTTATCACTTTCTAGTTTGTGCAGAAAAATACTGCTATACATATCCAATAAAAAAAATAATCTCTTGCAACCCCTTGCGTCACATAGAAATCAACCCCCAATGTGTTTATAAATCGAATACCGCAAAACGCGGGTAGTTATCACTTTCTAGTTTGTGCAGAAAAATACTGCTGTGCATATCCAATAAACAAATGCAAATATAATCTCTTGCAACCCCTTGCGTCACATAGAAATCCACCCCCAATGTGTTTATAAATCGAATACGGCAAAACGCGGGTAGTTATCACTTTCTAGTTTGTGCAGAAAAATACTGCTGTACATATCCAATAAACAAATGCAATATAATTTCTTGCAACCCCTTGCGTCACAGAAATCCACCCCCAATGTGTTTATAGATCGAATAAGGCAAAACTCGGGTAGTTATCACTTTCTAGTTTGTGCAGAAAAATACTGCTATACATATCCAATAAACAAATGCAAAAATAATTTCTTGCAACCCCTTGCGTCACATAGAAATCCACCCCCAATGTGTTTATAAATCGAATACGGCAAAACGAGGGTAGTTATCACTGTTTAGTTTGTGCAGAAAAATACTGCTATACATATCCAATAAACAAATGCAAAAATAATTACTTACAACCCCTTGCGTCACAAAGAAATCCACCCCCAATGTGTTTATAAATCGAATACAGCAAAACGAGGGTAGTTATCACTGTTTAGTTTGTGCAGAAAAATACTGCTATACATATCCAATAAACAAATGCAAAAATAATTACTTGCAACCCCTTGCGTCACAAAGAAATCCACCCCCAATGTGTTTATAAATCGAATACGGCAAAACGAGGGTAGTTATCCTTATCACTGTTTAGTTTGTGCAGAAAAATACTGCTATACATATCCAATAAACAAATGCAAAAATAATTACTTGCAACCCCTTGCGTCACAAAGAAATCCACCCCCAATGTGTTTATAAATCGAATACAGCAAAACGAGGGTAGTTATCACTGTTTAGTTTGTGCAGAAAAATACTGCTATACATATCCAATAAACAAATGCAAAAATAATTTCTTGCAACCCCTTGCGTCACATAGAAATCACCCCCAAGGTGTTTATAAAAAGAATACGGAAAAACGCGGGTAGTTATCACTGTTTAGTTTGTGCAGAAAAATACTGCTATACATATCCAATAAACAAATGCAAAAATAATTTCTTGCAACCCCTTGCGTCACATAGAAATCCACCCCCAATGTGTTTATAAATCGAATACGGCAAAACGAGGGTAGTTATCACTGTTTAGTTTGTGCAGAAAAATACTGCTATACATATCCAATAAACAAATGCAAAAATAATTACTTGCAACCCCTTGCGTCACATAGAAATCCACCCCCAACGTGTTTATAAATCGAATACGGTAAAACGCG